ATTTGTTTTTGGGTTTTTTTTTGTTTTTTTTAGGGAAAAAAAAGTTTTGAAACATTAGGCTCATTTTGTGTCTCCAGGTAACACCTGGAGGCATGTAAAATAGATCAGTTTGCAAAACAGGCACAGGTGTTTTTTTTTTTTCCGGATAATGCAGCCTGCAACACAATGTATGTAATAACTATACAGTTTGAAGCGTCCTGATGTTTCTTGGCATTCGTTTTTGTAAAAATGTATGGGGAACTGTTTGCCTTGTCAATCACTTATTTGTGGATGTAAATGATTCATCCCCCGTGCATGTTTCTTCCTCAAGCCTTAAGTCTGTCAAAGGTTTTGTGTGGAATGTGTGGTCCCAAAAAGCTGCCTGGCAACTGTGAGCTCTTTTGTAAGCTGGAAGCATCTCTCTTGTTACTGTTATTTGTCGTAGGAACTTCTTAATTCCAAGCTGCCAAAGCATTACAATATGCAGTGCCTTAGTGCTATAGTAGGAGTACCTTTCAGCCTTTCATGTCAATCATACGTAGTCCATTAATTTGGTTTACTTTATATATATAAAAAACAATCTCCTAGAGAAAAACCTTTTGGTCAAAGATACCTTCCTAGACAAGTCAGTCCCCATTACTACATAGTTGGAATCTTTATACCAAAATGAAACATAACATCTCTAGAATTTTCTGCAGAAAGCAAATTGTATAAATAATGCTGCCTTTTTCAATTCTCATGACCAAATACTTAAAACGTTTGTGACTCTGCACTCTTGCATGCAAGTGCCTTTGGTTTTGAAGTTCCAGCTTAGAAAAGTGCTGCCATAATAATGACAAATTGTAGAGACCAAAAATATTTAGAGATCACCATAATGCCTTTGGTTTATTGGAAACAGTCAAAACTAACAGGCCTCCATTCTCAAAGAGTATCTTTTTATAGTAGCATGCTTTTTTCAAATCACAAGAGTGCATAATGCTGGAAACTAATCTCCCTCTTGTTGTTTCTGAGGCTTTGATGACTAGCATTGAAAAGAAAAATCAGTATTTCACCTTTGCCATGTCTTTCTCCATCCAATTTTACATATTTCCATAATTAGCAGAAAATTAAAGGACAAATGTGATTTTATTAATGTAGTAACTAGTTCTGTGAAGATGGTTGTCTTCTCTATCTTAAATTTGCACTTATTTTGTTTACAAACTTGAGCAATCAGATGCCTAAAATTGAAAAGCATGGCTCAGAATGTTTCTGTCATTTGACCTGTGCTTTTTGGCACCAATTTTTTAGGAATGAGTAACAAATATTGTTGGAAAATCCTTTGGACTGGTATCATTCAGTCCCTTCCTGTCATACTGCTAGACAGGTAACTTCCTTAAATAAAGTGTGCCATTTAACAAAGTTTGTGAATTTGGAGAATAATGTTTATTTCAAGAGACATTGACAACGTTGATACTGATGTACTGATTCAGAAGGTATGTGTGTGTGTATGTGTGTGTATACACGCACACATGTACACATGCCGCATACACACACACGAGAAAACTGACAGCAGTAAAACCAAAAGTTGGCAGAGGGGTTTGTAGCTATTCTGGTTTTAATAGTGTTTTTTGTTTTTTAAAAAATCAAAATTACTGTGCAGCACAAAGTGGTAATATTTGTGATTGTTCCCCCTATCTCTTTCATTTGCATTCATATTGATTTTCTTGTTCCTCAAAGATTTAAATCTCCCTCACTCTCTTCTTGCATCTAATCCGCTAAGGATTGCTTGGCCTCAAAAGTAAACTATATATATTTACAACTATTAAATATATCTGCTGAGACAGATATAAGTAAGGAAGTGGGTGGAGTATATTTTATTGCAAAGGAATCATTTTTATTTATTGTCTTATGTATAAAATTGAGAAAAAAGAAATGGTACAAGTTGTTGCAGTTGAAACATAGCTTTTACAAATGTAATTTTATACTTACTTGAATTCTAGAATGGCTTATTTAGGTACTGTACCACTATGTTGTGTAATTTGCAAGTTTGATATCTATTTTCTCACTTACTGCTAGAGTCCATTCAGTTTGGCAACTCCCTTGAACTCAATCTTCCTGTTTTTATCACCTTCAAGTAACAGAGACAATTAAACTGAACAAAAGCAACCAAGAGCATGAAGGTGATTTATAGAATTTCAGAAGCTGCAAAGCGGTAAATTTTACAGTCCTGGTTGAATTCTTAGGTATTCTTCATTTTCTTTAGTTTGGACATCATGCCAAACCAGGAAGGAAACTTAACGATGTTCTGGACTTGGTTCACATAACAACTCTTTAAGCCTTTGCCTAATCATGGTGGTTGAATAAGCCATATTTGGCTAGATTCATGCTACACATTAAAGCATAACACGGTTTACAAAACATGTTGGCTTGGATCCCACAATGTGCTAAATAAAAACAAACCATATTATAGTGTATGAAGTCAGCTTTTAAGTAATATCAAATTTTATGAAATCTGATCACAATCTTCCAAATACACAGAATCAGAGTCATAGAGTAAAGTCTTCTGTGAATCAATGTTTTATTCATTCTATACTTGATAAAACATCTGCATTGATGGCCCTTTAGTAAAAATGTTCCTTACTCAGCCTGCAGAAGCTGTTGCATCATAGAGTGAACTTTCAAATCTTTGAACAGTCATATAATAAACAAACACAGGGAAGTAGCTCAGAATGATGATGTGCGTATTATATTTTAGATCTCAAACCATGGATTATATCAAGGATTGGCAGTATGGCATTCATGAGTGTGAGGCACCCAATATTAAACACCAAATTAAACATGTTAAAATAAAAATAGGTGAAATCTCACAATCCCACGAATCTCACAAGCTTTTAAGTGAGAAGGCCAAAACAACATAAACAATTGCTGGGAGGAAGAGAGAAGACTGGCTGAAACTTCATACGATTTCATTACTTTTCCCTCCCAAAACATTTTCCAATCTGAAAAGATTGCCTGAAAAAGCTGCTGTTCTGATATTTAGATTCTAGATTACAGGAAACAAAGATCATTGTTTGGCATGTTTTCTAAACTGACCCTGCCTTTTGACAGTTTAGGAAAATCAGTTACAGATCAATGTGGTGACTTTAACATGGCCCATACAATCAACACATCATGTAACAAATGTGGTTCTGCTGCCGGAGTGGTCAACTTGTGCATATGGGCTACAGCACCCCATTTGCAGTCCCCCAAGTGGGTGGGCCTGAAATGAAGATCCAGTTTTTGGGATGGAGGGCTGAAGGGTGAAATGAGTGTCATAAACCTTGCACCCATTTTGCCTACTAAAAGTCCTCTAATCCTTCCCCCATATGAGCTAATTCTTCCCATGTTAGTGGAGGGGGTTTAAGGGGCAGAATAGGTGCTCTGGGCTTTTTCCTAGTGATGAAAAGAAAGCTTGAAATGTGGGACCTCAGCCACTCTGCCCACACTTTCTACAGCCCCCTGGGCATGATGCAAATACCAAGGATATCCACCCAGGCTAAAAACTCTTGCCCATCCCTGTTCTCTAGGACCGATATACATGGCGTGTGTCGCCTTCTGCTGCAGCTGGGAAGCTCCTGGATACGGTAAACACTCCACCTTGTCTGCAGTGCGTAGTGACCTCATTGCCTGCAGGGCGCACACCCCAGTGCTGGGTAACTCTGTAAGTGGGGATTGGAGCACCTGGGAAGGCACTGAAGCACCACTCCCTGCCCCCTCCAAGTGGGATGTCTGTAATAACGTAAATTGGTCCCCATTTTTGTCTCTACTCAGGTTGATGATGATGATGATTATCATTACTATTATTATTTTGGTTACTACTTGGTAATCTTGTTTGTTTTCTTTCTCCTGGCCATTCCCGTGAGTAGAAAGACTAAATCATTCAAGTATAATAAAAATTTGGATTTCTTTCTCTCCAGCTGAGCAGATTACCATGGCTGTGAGAGTTTCCAAAAATGTCGTTCCGCTGTGTCAATTAATTCCAAAATGCACTCACTTCACAGAGGACATACATCCTGTTACCTCCCCACACGATGGTTTTATTTTTGTTTCTCATTTTGTTTTCTTTCTTTTACACGGGCCTCTCCTTCAGGCTCCTGACTGCAGAAGAAAAGCCTACAATATGTGCCTGAAAAAGACAAAATAATTTTATAACAGTTTTTAAAACCTGAATAGCCTTTAATTTTTTAATATCAGTGCATTTTATGTAAAAGTTTTCTTTCTGTTTCCTTTTTTGTTTTTATTTGACACATGCATTCATTCACATTTGTAAATGACCTAATGGAATTCTCACTTTGTTTATTTGTGTAATGTGTATAAACTGGGTTTGTGACTTAAGCATATTCATATATGGTCAGTGGTTACTTTAATATTGTACTGCTGCTGGTTATTTGGGGAAGGGGGGTGTTGAATCTGCCTTGGATGACAAAGTACCTCTTGCTCAGGCACTGAGGGAAAGCTCAATTTTAAAAGAAAAACGAACCTCGGCAAATTGTGTCTTAACATATTTTGAAGTTTTCAAAACAACTTTCAATCAAACCTTTTGGCAGTACAGTATTCTTGTATTTGTCGTCTGTGTGTAGGTACTGGTACCTTCTTTGTTTTTAAAAACGTTTTAAGTGTTGGCTTTAAAGTGAATTTATCTTTAGTATGATAGTAATATGAAAATTATAGGGTTTGTGTGCAGAGAATTTTTTTATAAAAGTGCTTTGTAAAAAAAAAATTGTATTCTAGCTTTCGCGGTACATATGTGTGATACCTTTAATATCCATGACAGTTAAGTGCAATTATTTCATCACTCTAAAAATGCTATTTTTGTGTCGGTTACTGCAGGTGTTCATGTCTTTGCAAAGTGACACATTTTGATGCCTTCTTGATAAAGTGGTAGATTTTTT